ATAAGGTTGATTTAGCCCTACCACTCCTAAATTTAAAAATTTAAGACAACAGTCAACATATTACCACATCTTTCTCCAAGTAATGCACATAAGGTGATTGTGTCCATTGGGATTATGGAAATTCCGACGGACTTTGGACAAGGCTTGTCTTAGCGAGTTATTGCATGGGCAGCGTTCTAAGTCATACTAGATTTAGACATAATGCATGCACTGTCGATTTTAGAATGAGGTTTCTAGAAGAGTCTAGACTGGTACCCTCAAGCGGACAACTTGGGAGAGAAAGGCACGGAACCATCGAATGCACCGCTGATCGACTAGTTTTACTGCAAATAAGCCTTTCCAAATTCAAAGGGTGATTTTGGGAAGAGCGCGGACACTCATCAAGTGCCGCTATATTGATATTTGGCACAAGTGGAACATGAGTTGAAAACATGCTTATGTGAAAGTGATAACATATAGTCAAGTAATTCACATGGTGAAAGCATATAAAGGCAGTATTAAATAATACGATAAAATAAGCAAAAGAGAAAGGGGAAAAAATACAAAGGAAATAGGTTAGCATTGTTCACAAAAAATTCAAAACATAATTAAATGAAGCGAATAAAGGAGACAGGGAAGGGAGGTTCATGATATAGAAACTTTGAGCAAATAACGGAACGGGAAAGGGAGGTACCTAGAAACGGTCATGTAAAGCAACTTAATGAATTAGAAATCCCACATAAGCTGAATCTGCTATGGTAAGAACCTAAATATCCCCAGCAGAGTTGCCATGCTGTCGCACCCCATTTTTCTCATGAAGACGGGTTTAGACATGTGACAACTCTTTTAAAATGGTATAAAAAGAGAAGAGTCGCCACCTAACGATTGTAAGGTGCGTTATGGTACCTATTTGCAAATAACTATGTTTGACTAGTCAAGTTTGCAGGTACAAGATGCAAAATATCACAACAAGTTCTTATTATCAAACTGGGGCAATTTTCGCATCCAATATCTCTCTATTTTTGATTTCTACTCAATTCCAACGTCATCGCCACTTGAGACCGGAATAATTTCTAGAATTAACATCTCCTTGAAGTAGTAAGTGCGGCTTTATTCTCTTTATAATATTAGTTTTCACTACCTACTTTTCTCTCCTCAATTTTCGCAACAATCTCTACCTTACTCAGAATCACATTACTTCCCAATCCTATTTTTCCTCATACACCCTTCTATTTTTTTCGATCACAATATCCAATATGATCATAATTCAATACTGGTAAATTTTTTTAGGGTATTCATGTCCTTCCCTAATCTAGAACTACACACGACCTGATTCTCGTAAAGCCCAGGATATGTAGGCAACTCAAAAACTGGTGTTCGGCCACAATATTTTTCAGGACTCTTATTCCCATTTATTCTTACACAACTATATCACCAGTCGGACAAAATTGGCTACTACCTCAATTTCTTTGCCCAAAAAATTCTTTCATCGTTCTCGGGCAAAGAGGGGCAACTGTTGAAACCCAATTTTGTCCCTCCTCCTATTGAATTTATTCCTTTGAGCTTCTATTTTTTGTAAATGTTAAAGATTCTAATTTTTTACTTATTTTATCAAAATACAATGTTTATATTGCTATCATTTATTATTAATATTATTGTTATTATTATTATTATTATTATTATTATTGATTACTATAATTATTATGTTTTTTAGTTAAAATAGTAGCCCAAATACTCCCCTATTTATCTAGCCCAACATGTGCTCTCTGTCCAAATGGAGCCCACTTCACCCAGCAATATCCTAAGCCCAACCACTTTAAACCAAATCTCAACGAGACTAACCCCAAACCAATTCTCCGATCTTATACCTTCCTCGCCAGCAACAAACATCCATTTTTCCCTTCTTTAGCCCATTATCATATTTATTCTCTTGCTTTCCTTCCTTTTTTTATTTAGTTATTTCCTTAATTATTTTACTACTTTATTACCAAATGTCATAGCATAGTTTCTTCACAAATCACTCAAAATCAAAAATTATAGCTCTTCCTATAAAGAAAGAATTTTGGTGGAAGATTTGGGTACGAATTTAATTGAAGAATTTGTCCAAGTTCATAGGAGTCCCCAAAAAGGTAAATTTTTTTATTTATTGTGGGTTCTGCTTTCTTTGATTTGATATAATAATTTTCAGAAAAACTCAATCCCGTAAGTTTTTTTCCTTCTTGACATGATTTCTTATTGCTCTAATTATATTGTAGTTGAATTTGATAAATATTCATATACTTTTTATATATAGAAATAATCATTTTTTTCTCAAAGTTGTGGGCTCCGATTTTTGCTAATTGATTCTGTCAAGTACTAATTGTTAGCCTTAATTTATGTCCTTTTTACTTAGAGCATTAATAATTTTTAGCTATAAATACTACTACTACTACTATTAAGGCAAAAAAAGGAGGGGAGAAGGACTTTTGATCATTGCTCTTCATCACTTCCATAACTTTTCTTTTACTGTTATATACTCTTCATTCACTGCTCTTCGGCTACTTCTTTGCTTATTGCAAGCCAAAGCAAAATTTGTTTTCTTTTATTTCACTCGACACGAGTGTTGCTCAAAATTCGTAGAAGTTTTAGTGATCTCGGAGCGTCGAAATTTGAGTATTGCTTTCTTGTCACTATCATTCGAGTTTTCTTATTGCAATCACTGCGTATTTCTGGAGTTTGTTTGGCATATTTACTGTTGTTGAAGATCTGTCCGTGAATCATTATTTGGATTTCTGGTTTTCTTATGAATTTGGTACTCCACAAACTGGTTAGTTTCCTGAATGATGCATTACGATTCCTTTACATGTTGGTTGTTGTTAGAATAGACTAGTCCTTCTCTTTAGTTTTGTATTATGTACACTCTTGTCCATGCTGAGATATCGAGTGCCATGCAACACTCTATTGAAATTATGCCAATATAATAACACGGTACGTCTCTTAAATTCATTTGTGTTTTTAATCTTTTGATTTTACGTGTGAGTTTTTAAATATGAAACGACCTGACCATAAATGTCTTTAGGATTTGTTCTGGCACCCTAGTAATTAGGAAATCATTTCCTTTATTTAGGACTAAAGATTGCATAAATAAGAGTAGCACCAACTTATTTGCTATGTTCAACGATTTAGTTTAGGAATTCTGCCTAAAAGATTTCGAATGATATTTGTAAGTTCCATGATCTTCATTCTTTGTATAGCTGAATTCATGTTGCATTGGTATCATTTCAGCGAGTATTTCTAAGTTAATAAAAGGCGGTATTGGATTGTTAAAACTTCATCCCTTAAACCTTAAGAATGTTTGCCGGTCTTATTTTGTCACTTAGACATCATGTTTAGGATTAACTGGCCTAATATACTGCATGTCCAGTTGTGGATAGTATGTCAGAAGCTAAGAGTATTTTTTGCTTTGTTGGCTATAATGCATCCAGATAACTTGCTATCCCATAATGCTTGTACTTTATTTTGTTTGAGTAATTATTTATTTGATTTGAACACTAGAGGTGCTCTATTTAGGAACTAATAGTAAGAGAAGTCAACAACTTCGTTGGTGTTAAAGGCTAGCGAGTTGTATTTCTCAGCATGTTCTTTATCTTTACAGGACTAAATTGCAAATAGTTTGAATAAAATACTTGAAGTTATATTACTTGGAAGTAACGAGTTAAATCTATTTTCGCGATAATTCGATCTCCATGTGCGCTGCATGTGTCCTGGTTGGGCTATGACCTTACAGGATGACGTAATTCGAGCATTGAGCGAGTGTTTGGAGTCGCCTGGGAAGGGGAAGGTTTAAGAATTATTGTGTTGGAATTTACTTTGCGCCTAAAGCTCATTAGTTTAGCTTGTATTGTAATGTTGGCCGCTACAAATAATCTGTAATTGTGTAAAAGGGATGATGGGGCTGAAACTTATTTGTCACTTGTTGCTGCTATGTGCTATTTGCTCTTGTGGTTTGTTTCTATTTTTACTAATCACTGAAGTCATGCTTTCATTTTCAATATTATTACCATGCTTATAGAATTCAAGTAACAGGGAGAAGTGATTTTCTGTTTGTGTTATTCTCCTAATAATAATGATTTTTAATGCATTCAATTTCCTTTTAACAGTGGAGATTGCTACTTGTTTTAAACCTGTCGTCAAACTAGTTTTACAAAAAATACCCTTGATTCATTTCATGGAAACAAGTACTGTTAAGTAAGTATAGTCTTCTTATAATATTTTTATTTATTTATTAAAGGCTTGGGGGCTAGTAACAATCTTTGTATACAAGTAAGTTTTCTAGCATACGATTTTCAAATCAGGTATCTTATTTCAATTCCTCTTTCTTATCTACCTTTACACAAAAGAGTACGTAGCTAAATACTTTAATCCAAACTACTTTATCTTCTACTCGACATTTTTAGTAATTTTATAATTATGTTTATTCTAGTATGCTTATACTTGAGTTGCGTAGTATCAGTTCAAGAAAGTTATTATATTATAAGAGTTCATTTCACTACTTCAATTATCAACTCTCAATTTAATTAATTCGGAGGCCAACATGAGCCCTTACATGCCTTATGTGTTACTTGTTTAAGTCCCAATGTGCTCCATTTTATGTGACGCTAATAAGAATATAAATAGAAACCTGAGATTTTCTTTATGTATAGAACCATCCTTTTAGAATAGTGTCCAAAGCCTCCTGGGACTATAAGAAGGGATGGGTAGTTTTAAATTAAGACGCGCTTTAGAATTAACTAGTACGTTCTTAGGTTAATAACTCAAAGATATTAATGAGGGTAGTTGGACATGATACACAAATTGCCCGAATAGCCATTGCACTTTTGGTTATAAAAGTCGTAGCAGGCTTTGCACAGGAGTTGATGCATTAGGCATAAAAATTTAGGTCCTCCTTTACATAATTAGTTCCTTTAGACTATCAATTCTTTCCTTATGCACTTGACTGTTTAAGTAATTATTTTTATTACATCTCTAACTATTTGCATATTTCATCGCCTAGTAATAACAAACTAGTCTAACTTTGGATTAGTAATCCAATAATCCCACATAGCATAAATTTCGGCCGGGACCCACAGTTGTGGACCTCTAAGAGTGCCTAACACCTTTTCTTAGAGGTAATTTGAGCCCTTGCTCGATCTTTGGTGACGTTGACTAGTCAAACAGAGTTATTTACAAATAGGCGCCTTAACACACCTTAAAATCATTAGATGTCGACTCTTCTTTTTTAATACCCTTTTAAAAGAGTTGTCACATGTCTAAGCCCGTCTTCGTGAGAAAAATGGGGCACGATAGTGCCCGGCACCAAATAAATACCGAAATCAACAACCCTGTCCGACGACATACCCGGCAGTAGGAAACGCATCTGGAAAATCTCTCACCACCGGAACTGAATCAATGGTAGGAGTCTCTGCACTGACATCCATCACGAAGGCCAAATAAGAAAGACAACCCTTCCCAGCCATCCGTTGCGTCTTTAAAATTGAAACCACCCCATAATCCGTCGAACCTCGTCACCCAATCCGTGGCATTCCTGGCATAGCCAACATCGTCGTCCTAGAGCAACACCCTAGAATAAAATGACACGGAGACAACCAGTCCATACCCAATATAACACCAAAATCTAGCATATTAAGAAACAAGGATCCACTAGGGTCTCCAAACCTCCAATAGTTACCACACAAAACTGATATACGCGATCCACAACCACGACCTAACCTGTTTATGAGAACTCCCAGTCTTCAAATCCATACAACACGCGAATCACCATAGCCGATTCTAACTCCACCGTCCGAATATACAACACACCTCTAATACCCCATCATCCCATGAGAGGTACTCCTATAATTCTTCTGTGCCACCAATCAAAGTCGAATATCAGCAGTCAATCCAACAATAGAGTGCCGCAATACTAATGGAATATCCTCAACTCAAACACATCACCCTTTCTAAAATGTATACCATCATCAAGCCACACCTATCAATGATGTCATTTATCTAGTCATCTGAAACTGTCCATGCTACCTAAGAATTTGTGACCTTCCTTTCAAAACTCAACCGTGACCTTACACATGCAAATCTCAATCCTACACAATATAGCGCATATACCATACCATCCTAGGATAAACATGAGAACTTCATATCCATTCCGAGCCACAAGCAACTACGTAGTCAACTAACCAAGAACTTTCCATTGATCCTGTCTAGAAGAAAATTACTATACATCCCATGCTCCTCATGCTCATAGAAAATATACATCTCTAACCGAGGTGGAAACCATCAAGAACTCTCCGAATTCCATTTGCACACACTACAATAAAAAGCCTTATTTATGACCAACTTTTAGGGATGAGTTAATAATCTCGTCGCAAAAAATATATTTATTGGGACGAGATAATATTGAGGTCCTTAATACTATATTTTATTACTAATGTAGTAAATCCGGTCCCTAAAGAAAGTAGTAACTGGTCCCAAATTATAATTGAGGGACATTGAGTGTGACACAGTGCTGCCAAATCCAATACCAAAATATTAAAAAACTATTATTTTGTGAAAAATCAGGCGCCAAAACTATTATATTGTAATAAAAAATTTTAAAATGTCAAGAAACTCTCTGTATTCTAAAACACAAGTCGCGAACATAAGCTCTGCCCTAGTTTCCGCATGCCAAGCTCCACCCAGTTTCAGCCAAGCTCTACCCATCGCCTTTACTGTGTTTTCTCAAAACACAAAATGTGAATCTGATGGTGTGTGAATTTTCCCAAGTTTCCATCTCACTCGTTGAGAATCCGTGAAACTCTCTATATTATGAAACACAAGTTGCGCCATAAGCTCAGCCCTAGTTTCCGCCAAGCTCTGCCCGTCGCCTTTACTGTGTTTTCTCAAAACACAAGTTGTAAATCTGGTGGTGTGTGAATTTTCCCAAGTTTCCATCTCGCTCGTTGAGAATCCGTGGTATGCCCCCTCTTTCAAGTTGCTTTTTTTCGTTGATTGCTTCGCTTATTCGAGTTCTTCGATCTTCTTTTTCTTCTCTAACATAAACAATTTGGTAAGGTTTCATATTTTGGTATTTTTTTCTTTTACAAAATCAGTGAAAAGATTATTGGGTTGGGATTCCTAGTTTGATAATTTAATTTCTGAAGTTTATATAAAATTGCGATTCGGTATCCTCAGCGGCAAATTTTAATTGCCTTCTTTTGCTTCGTTGATGTATTTTTCTTCCTTCACCATGAGTTAACTAATCCCTGCAACTAGTAGTCTTGTTTGTGTGCTATAGAAGAATGCCGAAAGCACCTTCTTGAATTGCTAATTGTGTTTAGTGAAAAGCTGGTACATAAGTTGAGATGAAAAGCTCAGACAGAGAACTCTTATTAATCACAATGAATGAGATGAAAACCTGGTACATAAGTTGAACATTAGGCGTTTAGTTATATAGGTGGCTTGTAGAAAATATTGTGTAAAACATCTTTGTTCATTACTTGGGTTGAGTGGCAATTTCAAATTACTGCAATTTTGGTGTTCTGGACTAGTGGATTCCATACGCATTTGTTGTGATCAACTAGCTATTAGATATCTGACTCCTATGTTTTGTTTTCGAGTTTGGTACTTTGTTTGCTTGGACGTTGCAATCCTAGTTGTATATCTCAATGTTTTATGTTGCACTTTTGTTTGTTTGGATGTATTCTAATTTGCTATGACGTTGCTGAGCACAATGGTCAGGACACTTTATCCATATTGGTCCAAAATATATGATCTTTTTTCTTAAATGGAAAAATTGTTTTTGCTCAGGCAATATTGTATTGTTGTGATATCTCAAGTTTGATTTTACATGTATTCTTCTAATTGTTTCACTTTAGAATGTTTAATTGTGTCATCAGATGTTTTTATATCAAACGTTGGAGTACAAATAACATTAGGCCAAGGTAGGCTAATCTTAAAAAGACAACGAGAAAGAATTTAGCTTAAGATATGTTGGGTTTCATGAATGAGAATATGTAATAGCTTATTAATTGACCTACAATTGAGAAGTAGGTGATGTTTTAATGTCAAGAGTGATTTCATGTATTATACTATATGATATTGAATGGTTGTTTTAGATTGTCTATTTGTCTCTGGTGTGATGTGAATAACCGTGTAAAAGTATTCAACAGTTTAGTATCAAGACATGAACATTCCTTAGCATGTTGAGTATATTGTAAGGATCTCTACCCTCCCTTAAATGCATTCTGATCAACTAAATTAGAAAGACAAGGTCTATCGATTAGTAGAGTCTAATTACATCGACCTGGATTTTGATCTGAGCACACTAATTTGATGTGGAATGAATCAGATTCAGGTCCTGTATTTGTACACTACTCAAATGAATGAAGAGAGGATGTGCCTTCATAAAATCTTGACATTGGAACACACTTTCTAGAAATAGTTGGAGAGCTCTAAGAACATTGTTACCTTTATGGTGAAAATGGAGTAATTTGTAGTGACCATTTATCTGGCATCACCACTATTTGTCCCTGGTGTGTAGTGAATAATTGTGTAAAGATATTCAACAGTTTAGTATCAAGCCATTAAAAATAACTACTCTAGGGATATTGCTTAGCATCTTGAGACTATTCTTTCTCCATTTCATACCAACTCTTGAGAATCCAGTTGTGTGCATTTGATCGTAACAAGTAGTGTGCATCGTAGTATTTTTCTTATCTATTATCTTTATTTAATTTAACTTTTATAAGCAAGAGCGTGCTTCATTTTGCACTGGAACAGAAGCATACCATGTTGTTGTTTGTTCATAATAGTTGATCTTTTGAATGGTAAATCTCGAATTGTCGTACCGAGATTTATCGAACCAAAGTAAGAATAACCATCCTAAAGATTTTCTAATTAATTTTTTTTAATATTGTTGTAGTCTTGTTGATGTTGCTGGATAACACCTTGTGAATTTAGACTACTTTTGGGTAAGCGATTTAACTATTGCTCATATAAAATTACATATGTTATTTTATCAATAGTTATTTGTTATTTTAAAAACTTTTGTACTTACGGGTTTTTAAAGATTGAAGCTACAAGTCAAGATGCAAGTTTAGAAGATGCACAAGCTATTATTATTTTACTAAAAATGTTATGCAAAACTTGATATCATAGTCTAGCTCACGATGTTAGCTAAGTTTTTTTTGTTGAGGTGTTGAGAAAACATAGAAAGTAACATCATCATGGGATTTGAACTTGATATATTATCTTTTTATATCTGGATTTTTCAATACCAATTTGATATTTATTGATAAAAATTACTTTTTGTTGCATTGAGTTTTTAGGACTACTCATGGTTATTAATAGACCATGAATATGATCGCTAAATTACAAAATTATTTTAAATAGGGACATCGTCTCTAAACATAATCTAGGACCAGTTAAAGGTTGGTCGCGAAAATGGTTTAACGACCGGATTTTTTATTGGTCTTTAAGAGATAATTTAGGACCGGTTGTAGTTGCTCGCTAAAACGATTTAACGAAGGGAATATATATATTTTTCATCGTCTATTAGGGATGAGAAATGTAGTCTCTAAAAGTTATTCCCGTCCAAGTTTACTGTCCGTCTCTAAAAGATAATTTAGGACCAGATACAGTTAGTCACTACAAAGATTTCACGACGGTAATAAATATTTCACGACTGGTTTTTTTCTCCGTCTCTAAAGTAATTTAACGACCAGGTATTAAGACCCGTCGTTATTGACATTTAGCGACGGAGGCTATTATGACGGGTTACGACAAGATTTTTTCCTTTGTAATTTACCTTTTTAGGACCAGATTTTAACTTTTAGGGACCAGATTTCCCTTCCTTAAAGGCCATTTTTCTTGTAGTGACAAAACTACACTGTCAGGACTGAATCCTTCTAACTCAACCAAGATACGTAGGCCACTAAAACCCAAGAGCATTGCTGCGAAATACCGGTAGAAACTCATTTCCTCGTAACCGCCCAAAGAACTAGTCATATCCTTATCATGTCGATCCGGCCTACTACAAAGGTATCCCATCTATCCAAGTTCCTTTTGATTTACCTTCAGCTTCATACTTTTTCTTGCTATAACACCACAATCCTCGACCCATACTCGCCACACGAGATCCAAGCATAAAGCCACACCGTCCTACAGTTCATAAGCTGCTGACAACTCTCTCAAATATCCTCAAAAACACCACATTCAAAATATTTTCCCTGAAGAGACTTCCTGCGAATTTAAAGACGTTACCTTCACCTTCCTGATGCAGATGCGTAGAATCCATAATGATATAGAAATACCACGAGTCTTGATACCCTCCAATGCATACCTCAGTTTGTAGCCAAATATACAACATGAAAATCTCTAATTATTACATGTAAAATCTTGAACACATTAGAACCATTCTCGAAAGTCATCCACTCTACTCAAACTGCAATTAGACTGATCAAACAGACCGAATGACCTATGCTCCATTAGCACTCCGACACCGCAGAATGTAACCTCACCTTAATGCATCCAAGCAACTTCCTGTTTTATGCACCGTACATCCTTTACCAATAACAACTCAAGTCATTTCGTGATTCTCACATGCCCATAAAGCATAACATAATCTTTATTGAAATTTCCTTTACTCGAGCCATCCTCGATCTCAATCTTCATAAGCCATAAGTGATTCACCAAATAGTTCTTGCTACCCCTAAGCAAACCCTTCTCGCCTCATTCAATTCATATGAACACATCTCGCAGTCACATCACACTCATCACGTAACTATCCAGCCATCACTTCCCTTAATAGGGACACTATCGAACGTATAAATCCAGAAACATGTGCTTGTTTAATCAATAGCTCAGGGCTCAAGCAACAGGCAAGGCCCGGCCTCAGGTCCTCCAGACTGGCCCAACATCAACACACATAGATCACAACTCGCCCCTCGCTTAGAAAATCACAAGCCATCGACGCACAGCCGATACCGTGCGCTCATGCACGCATACGAATGCGTGGAAGGAATTCAAGGAGTTACATTTCAAGCTGAATCAAGGACGCACGATAAGAATTCAAGAATGTCAAGTTTTTCCTAAAGGTTCTACAGCCTCCCAAGGATAAATACAAATGTCTCCGTACCGATCCGCGAGACTCTACTAAACCGGCTCATGACTCGCGAGACCTATGTAACCTAGGCTCTGATACCAATTTGTCACGACCCTAAAACCGACTCGGTCATGATGGCGCCTATTGTGAAACTCGGCTAGCCGACACAATTTCAGAATTAAGCATTATCAATAAAAGTCATTTTTAAGCCTTTAATTAATCAATATCTCATAATTTAAGTCTAAATGAACAGTGCAAAATAAATACACAAGCCCGACATTAGGGTGTCACAAGTCACGAACATCTACTAAGGTCTGAATTCAACAAAAGTCTAAGAATGTACTAAATACAGTCTAAGGAAGACAAGAGGGAGAAAAGTAGTGCTGCGAACATCGGGCAGCTACCTTGCTAACTCCAATGACTCTGCCACTAAGCAATCAACACCTGCTACAGGTTTTAGAACTACCTGAATCTGCACATAAGGTGAAGAGAGTAATGTGAGTATGCCAACTCAGTAAGTAATAAAAGTAAATACACAAAATCATTTACCTCGTAAATCAAGCTTAGTTTCAGTAAAAGTCTTTTTAAAATAACTTTCAACATTTTCAAACGAGTGATAAAATAGTGAGTATCAATGATAGAAACGTAAACAACCTCTCGGGCAAAACATGTACCATAAATCGCCCCTCGGGCAAAACATGGATCAAGAACAGCCCCTCGAACAACAATACGACATGATAACAGTCCCTTGGGCTACATCATATCAATCACACTGGGTACCTGCGCTCACTAGGGGTGTACAAACTTCGGGAAGGGCCCCTTACGGTCCAAGCGCAATAACAAGACATCTCGTGGCATAATCAATATATCACTCACTCAGGGTACCCGCGCTCACTGGGGTGTACAGACTCCGGGAAGGGCCCCTTACGGCCCAAGCGCAATAACGAGCCATCTCGTGGCATAATCAAACAGACTCTCGGCCTCATATCAATATACCTCGTGGCGTAACAAATCAGGTCCTCGACCTCATAATCATAAATCAGTACCATACTGCTGTGGCGCGCAGCCCGATCCCTAATATCTTCACAATACAAGCCCTAGGCCTCACTTAGTCAGAAATCTCTGATGCCACTCGGGCAACCGTAAAACATGATTATCAGCCCAAAAATATCACTTAAAATATAAAAAACGGAGTATATATGACTGAGTTATGAAAACAGTAGAAAACAGCATAACTGAGTACAAATATGAAGTCAAAACAATGAGGAATAGTAGCAAAAATCCCCTAAGGGTCCAAAACTGTTGGCACGAGGCCCAAATATGGAATTCAACACAAAACATGATAATACTTTCCAAAACACAATGATTGCAAACAATTTTCAATAAAATACGCAGTTTAACAATCATATGAGATGGACTAAGTCACAATCCCCAATGGTGCACGACCCCACGATCGTCATCTAGCGTGTGCGTCACCTCAAAATAGCACAACGATGTGAAATCCGGGATTTCACAACCTCACGACAAACATTTACAATCATTACTTACCTCAAATTGGTCCAAACTCTAGCCCGCGATGCCTTTGCCTCTCGAATCGGCCTCCAAATGCTCCAAATCTAACCAAAATCAGTATATTATCATCAATATACACTAAAGGAACAAAGCCCAAGTGAAAATAATCAAATTAAGTCAAAAATCCCAAAATTGGCTAAAACCCGGCCTCCGGCCCACGTCTCGAATCCGAAAAAAATAACAAAATTAGAAAACCCATTCGCTCACGAGTCTACCCTTATCAAATTCACCAAAATCCGACATCGAATGGCCATCCAAATCATCAAAATCAACTCTCCAAACCTTCCTCCATTTTTTCCAATTTTCACCCCAAAATTAAATGATAAGAATCAAGACATAATCATGAGATTTAACCAAATTTGAGTGAAGAACACTTACCCCAATCAATTCTCTAAAAATCCCTTCAAGAATCGCCTCAATCCGAGTTCCATAGCTCCAAAAATGCAAAAATGACCGAAATCCTCGAAATAGAGTACTTTATAATATGTCCAGGTATTTACCCTATGCTATCGTGGACAAACTAATGCGATAGCGAAGCACAAAATTTCCCAGCCTTTCTTTTACCCTATGCGATCGCGGCCATTCCCCCGCGATCGCATAAAACAAATTTTTCCAACAGCTTTCTCCAACTCTTTCAGATAGCCTCTAGTATAATAGTCATAGCTTTTTGTACAAAACTCCAAATTCTAATTGGTTTAACTTTCTGAAAACTAGACATAAGGGCTACAACTTTCATTTTCGGATCATTTTCAAATTCCTTATAGATTGTGAGATATAAGCTTCCAAAGTCGGGTCAGTACATCAGAGATTTTACTATATGTGATCGCCGGAAGACTTACGCGATCGCATAGCACAACTCCATTTTTCCAAATTTTCTCTATGCTAACGCGGTCAGATCTATGCTAACGCACTGTACACCCCTGAAGCGAAAAACCAGCAACTAAAAATGGCCTAGAAATGGCCCGAAATCACCCCAAAACTCACCCGAGCCCTCAGGACCTCAACCAAACACGCCAACACATCCCATAACATCATTCAAACTTGTTCCAACCTTCGAAACACTCAAAATAATATCAAAACATCGAATCACCCTCGGATACAAGCCTATGAATTTCAAAACATCCAAATTTCGAATTCACTCAAAAAGTCTATCAAACCTTGTCCGAATGGCCTAAAATTTTGCATACATATCACAAATGATACAACGGACCTACTCCAACTTTCAGGATTCCATTCCGGCGCCTATATCAAAATCTCACCTATCAACCGGAAAATGCCAAAATCCCAATATCGCCAATTCAAGCCTAAACCTTCCACGGACTTCCAAAATACATTCCGATCACGCTCCTAAGTCCCAAATCACCTAGTGGAGCTAACCAAATCATAAAAATTCAAATCCGAGATCATATATTAACAAGTCAAAACTTGATCAAACCTTTCAAATTATAAGCTTCAAATTGAGAACTGTTCTTCCAAATTCATTCCGATTATCTTGAAAACCAAAATTGATGATTAACATAAGTCATAACATATCATATGGGGCTAGTCATGCCCAAGAACTGGCGAGCGAAGTGCAAAGCTCAAATGACCGGTCGAGTCAT